TCCTTGCCGAGGTCTCTGCGGCCACTGGCCTGTAGAGACACTCACCTAGACGGTCACGGGAGCCTCCTACTTGGTATTTCTTGCTCCATTTTCTCTCCACTTCAATCTAGGAAAAGTAGTATCCCGAACATATCATCGTCATAAAACTTTGATGGCCCTCTGTGGGCCTCAGGGGTGCCTCTCAAACTCTCTGGGGGTGAAGGACTAGTTTTTAAAAAAAAATTTCCAGTCCATCATGGGCCATTATTTTTATAAAATCCCATAAAAATTAATTTCTAGAAAAATGAAATAGAAAAGATGAAAAACACAGGTCCCAAATATCTATTATTAGATTCAACAGGCATAAATTTGTTCTGTCCAATTGCTATAGGTTTTTTTCCCTCTCACTTTCTGTATTTTTTGTGGTCAGGTGTTTTGTGGACCAAAGAGCAGCAATGGCCTACAGGACAATATGCAGACTCCTTATTCTCCTGTTCAAACCCTCTTTAGTCTCTGCCAACCTACTTTCCAGGCTTGCTGGCTATTGGTCTGCCATTGAAACTCTCCAGGTTGTCAACCTGGTTTGCTCACTGTCCTTCAAACTCATCTTTGGCTTTCTTGTGCTATTCATGTTCCCCTGGCCCCAGAATGTTCCATCCTGGCTACCAACCCTCGATACCTATCTAAATCCTAACAGCAGCCGCAGCACCAGCTGTAGATTGAGCATCTACTAATTTCCAGGCACTGTGCTTTTACTCATGATTTCATTGGATCAGAGTAACAGGTGAGTACTAACATCTGTAACGTCTTCTATACATTAGAGCCGATCCAGTGTTATTGCTCTAACGACAATCACTGGCAGAGGAAAAGTTATTTATCTGGGCCAGTAAGAGTTCAACACTGGGTTTTTGCTGGGACCAGGGGGGAGAGCTGAGCTGGTGGAACATAGGTTTGGAAATGCCCACGGTCATACATGCTCCTCAGAGGGGAGGGATGTCTGAAAGTGATGATGCCCAGAGGAGAGAGAGGCAGGGTCTGCCTCTCTCCCCAGTTCCAGTCCTCTTTGCCTATTTTAGAGGATGCTGGGATATGCTACTTAGTTCTTCACTGAGGACAAAAACCTTGTTCTCCAGCTCCTGGGACGATTGCCCTGGCAGAAGAGAGCCACCTATCCTGTGTCATGCCCCTTTCCAGGGCAGCCTAAGGCTAATGACAGGTTGACATGGGGATATAATTGCTGACCCTCTTGCCCCAACTCAGGACAACTCTGAAGGGTCATCCCAGCTTAGAGCTCCCAGCAGGGCTGGGTGAGCTCTTTATTGCAACTGCACTATAGCTCAGCTTCCCCTCTCTGCCCCATCCTGCTGCTGCGATAACCAGCCTGTTGCTAATATTATCAGCAGGGGTAAGAAAATAGGGTTAATTTCTTATACAAGCGGGCAGACCATTGGGGCATGGGGTGGAGCAGATGGAGTAGAGGAGGAATCATAGAAATAGAACATGGTGTGGGAAGGAGTTCCAAGAAGTCAATGGGTCCAAAGCGGGATATGCCATATGAGGAACTGTTGAAGGAAGTGAAAATATTTAGTGGAGAAGGAAAGATTTACGAGGATTATGATAGCATTCTTCATCTTTGACAGGCAATCGAGTAGAGCCTGGATCAAACTCCAGCTGAGTTTCCTCCTAGATCCCTTGCAGTTCATTCCCACGCATTTAGATCAGGTCATATCACGCCAGCTTAAAACCCTCCAGTTGCTTCTCGCCACACTACTAATGGAACACAGGTGTCTTGTTAATGATCTGGAGGTCTTTCATTATCTGGTCCTTGTTTCCCTTTCTCACCTTATCTCTTATGTATCTTCCCCTCACCCACCGTTCTAGCTGCACTGGCCTTCTTGCTATTCCTTGAATACACCAGCCCATTGCTACCTCAGGGCCTTTGCACCTGCTGCTATCGCTGCCTGTTCTTCTATGAGTTCTTCACTCACCCCATTCCTTTTTTTGTTCAGTCTTGAACAAAAGGTCATTTCCTAAGAAATATTCCCTTGACTAGTTCCTACCTCATTGCCCCGTTTTATGCCCTTCATAGCACTTTCTGCTCCTCAAAATGGTTTTGTATCTTTGCTTATTATGTGATTCTGTCTCCCGACTATCTCTCACAAAGAATGTAAGCCCCACATGGGAAGAGATGTGTCTGTCCTGTTCACCACTGTAACCCCGGCATGTGGTATGGTTTTGGCACACAGCAGGTGCTTGGTAACTATTCTTTGAGTAAAAGAATGCATGAGCACAGCCCTAAGAAGTAGCTCCAGAGCTAATAGGTGGACAATTTGTAGAGCAGATTGTTGAAACTGTGGTTGGCAGGCTCAAAGCCTCACCAACGGAGGTGAATGTCACTTAGCAAGGAACCAGCAGGCCACTGGGAATGTGCGGTTTACAGTCAGATAGATCAGGATGTGAGTCTTGGCTCTGCCACCTCCCAGCTGACCGCAGGCCTTCAACAGATCCCTTGACCTTGAAAAGCCTCAGCTCCCTCATCTGCAAGAATAGGAGTACGAGCTGAAGCCACCCTTCAGGGGCTCTGGGGTGATTAAACTCGGAAAGCCCTCAGGGAGTGCCCGGCACCTAACAAGTGTAACTAGGTGTTAGCTCTGCAGTTTGGCTGTTCAGTTTCTATTGCTCCAGAGATGACAGGTCCCACCTCCACTACTTGCACAAGGCCACGAGTGCTGGGGATTCACCTAAGGAAGGACCATGCTGCGACAATCTCTTTCTCAGCAACCAGTTGGTGTTTTATTCCCTGTCACCCTAACTGTCCTGAGGGCCAGGGGGAGCAAGAAGAAGTGCCCCGGGTTCAGGGCGGGGGGCAGGGGGTGGTGGAGGCAGTGAGTTACCTTCTAGACTGTTACTTCTCCACCTCCTGCCGCTGACACAGAGCTGGACCTCCTGGGGTTGGAGCCTGGTGAGGCAACGGTGGTCACCGTTTCTTCACGGGACTTCTAGCTGTTCCAGAAAGTCCTAATATGGCACACACGACTCCCATCTGCACCAGTGCATGAATCGGGCGTGTTTTGTGATGAGGGAGGAGGAGAAAGCTTGCCTCTGGCTGGCAACAGCTCTGCAATGGGGGCGGGTGAAGATGGGAGGGAGAAATCCCGTGCGCGGAGGTGCGCACCTTCCTTTGGCCCTCTTCCTCCCTCAGCCTCTGGCTACCATGCAGGCAGACGCAGGGTTTATGCATCTTGGCCCAGAAAAGAGCTAGTCACAGGCAACCAACGTGATGCAGGGGAACATTATTGCACAATAGATAAATTTAGGCTGAGGCTGTCCCTTCAGCCCCTTTGTGATGGCAAAGGGAAGTGTCTTTCTTCTGTTCACTGTCCATCTAATGAAGGGCATGCCGACATATGGCGTGGACTTACTGCGGGCTGGGCACAGTTCTGAAGCCCTTCACCCGCGTCGTGTATCATCCTGTGAGGGGGCTATGGTCATTAGCCCCTGGTTAGAGACAATGTTCCTCCGTGAGTTAGCAACTTGCACCCGTGAGCGGCAAGGCGGGGACTGGGACCCAGGCTACCTGGCTCCGGAGTGCGTACTCCACCACCAGGTGAAGTGGCCTTGTAGGTGGTGGGCTTCCCATCCCTGGGGGTGACAGAGATCACTGAGGGAGCCAGACAGAGGTCTCTGGCATCTATTCAGTGTGTCGCCTGTGTCTGGCTTGGAACTGAGCACTCTGCCCACCTCATCTGCTGGCATGCTCATGACACCCAGCTGCAACAGTCACCTCACTTTACAGACAAACTAGAATTAGAGAGACTGGGTAACTGGCTAAGGGCTCCGGGCCAGTGAGGCTGGAGCTGGGAATCCAGCAGGCCTGCCTAACCCCACCCCCTAACCTCTTCCGAGACCGGGGCTGCTTTCCAAGGGATTCCGCTTAAGGGGGACTGGATGAGATGAGCTGGATTTCAGGGTCCTAGCTCATCTGAGCTCTCTACCCGCGAATTGTCTGACACATAAAGCGGCAAACTCTTGAATGGAGCTGTTATGACTGGTTTCTAGGTCACAGTAGCCGTCATTACATTTTGGATGTTACAGTTAAGGAAATATTTCACTTCGGAGCCTTTTTTCTCAGTGAGGGTTTCCTTCACTAGTTTTAACCCTTGACCCCAACAATCCCTGTCCCCGTTTCCTATTTCATTTTCCTCTACAGCTCTTCCGGCTTATCTAACATACCAATCTCTGGTTGGTTTATTTTTTATTTTCTCTGTTAAAATGTAAGGTCAAAGAAGGCAGGAGTTTTGTCTGTTCAGGCTCTGTCCCCAGCGCAGCACAGGACAGTGCCCTGCATACAGTAGGTGCTCAATAAATGTTCCACGAATAAGTGCATGAACCGGCTTAAGATAACCGTGTTGTGGCTACAAAGAGATCAGGATGTGGTCTGCAGAGTCTCTGGCCTCAGTGCGGCATTCAGCGGACACTTCCCTGTGTCTGCGACTGTTTTTTTTTCTGCCAAACGCAGATACTGAAAACTCTGGTCTCCAATAGTTCTGGAATTCTAGGAATCCTTTAGAGAAGAGGCCAGAATGAACGCTCCAGCCAAGGGCCGTCAGACCAGTGAGGGACAGGGAATCCACTTCTCCCGGGTTGGTGAGAAGAGCCGGAGGGCAGGGAGCAGGGGGCAGGTGGTGACGGGGTTTGGGGGCCGCGGGGACGGCGGGCGGCGGCTAGAAGCGCGAGCGGGGAGGCCCCGGGGCGGGCTGGAGCGCCGGCCTCTGCACCGCCCGCGCCGCCGGGAGCCCTGCCTTAACCTGCCCAACTTCCGTCTGACAACTGGAGGGAGGGGTCAGGGCCGGGGACTGGAGGGGGTCGTGCAGGTGGCCCTGAGTGCCGCTCCGCCAAGCCGGGGGCTGTCGGCAGCCGGCGCCGAGGCGTGGCGGGGCGACAGCGGAGGGACCGGGGGCGGCGAGTCGGGGGCAGAGCCTGCGGCGGGGCTCGGGGACGTCACCAGGGGATCGGCGTGGGCGGAGCCGCACTCGGAGCGGGGAGGAGGCCTGGGCGCAGAGGTGTTCCCGGGGGCGGGGGGCGGCGACCCGCGCCTATAGGCTCTCCCGGGACGGGGGGGACCGGGCCTTGGCCGGTTAGGCTCTGAACGGTGCGGACGCTCGGTGCCGTCGCTCCGTCCTCCCGCCGCGTCCTGCCGCCCGCACCTGCCTCGTGCACCTGCCGCCCCGCTCACCGCAGCCCGGCCTCAGCATGACGGACCAGGGGGCCTTCGACACGGATATCGTCACCCTGACCCGCTTCGTCATGGAGGAGGGCAGGAAGGCCCGCGGCACGGGCGAGATGACCCAGCTGCTCAACTCGCTCTGCACGGCGGTCAAAGCCATTTCCACGGCCGTGCGCAAGGCGGGCATTGCGCACCTGTGAGTCAGGCCTCCAGGCCATCGGGCCACGCTCTGTCTGTCTGTCCTGTTGGGGATCTGCCTGGGAGTCTGATGTGTGGTCCCCTGGCCCAGCTGCTGTCAGCCTGCCTGCCTGTCTGGCAGATGGGAGTCTGTCTGTCTCTCTGTCTCTTTCCCTGGTAGCCCCTCTCTCACAAGGCTTGTCCAACTGCACCCAATCCCTGGTTCCCCTTCCCTTGAGCTTGGGAGTGCCCCCACCGGGGGGGAGGGGGAACCTGGCTCACAGTTCACACCTGCCTCCATCCAGCAGCCCTCTCCCTTGGGCTGAGCAGCCTGCCTTTGCACCAGCTGTCAGCCTCCTCCTGATGAAACAGGCTGGCCAGGCTGAGCCCCTGGCCAACCCACCATACCCAACTTAGCCTCACACAGGAAAGTACCTGCACCGGTACTTCCTTTCCCTTTCACTCCTTTTCCCTCCTTTCTCCCTCTGGAATTGGGGTCCCAAGTCAGGTTTCTGATTTAGTATCTCCTTGACCCTAAACAAGTCCCGTTAGGAGCAAAGGAAGCCCAGGGCAGGCTGGGAGGAAGCCTGCATGCCCAGAGCTCTCAGGAGCAGCAATGCTTGTGTGCAAAGGGCTGCAGTAGGTCTGGGGTGGGGCCTGAGATTCTGCATTTCTACAAAGTTCTGTGGTAGGTGGAACAGATGCTGAGGTTTGAAGCTCACATTGTGTGTAGCAAAGGAATCACGGGACATGGGGATTCAACGGGCACCTTCTTATGAGACTTTTTGTAAGTAACACAAATTTCCCTTTGGTTTATTCTGGTGTGCACAGGTATTTTATATTTAGACTGATCCTCACTTTAGCTGAAGCATCCCTGGGTTTTCAGACTGCCCACACTGCTTCCTAACGTTTCCTGCACTTCGGAACACTATAAAGATGTGCACGATGCTCATAGCTGATCTGAAAGAGTATAACCCGCACAACCTGAATTCCTTTTCTGGGAAGCTGTTTGGCTTCAGCCCCATGCTGTGGGTTGGTGGAGCTAACTCTTAAGAAAGGAGTGTTGGGGGGAAAAAAAAGGAGTGTTGATGACATTTATTTTCAGATGTCAAACGGAGACAGGCCTTGCTGGGATAGGGACGAGTACATTAGGAAGGTGGTGGCTCCTGTACTATTTCTTCTAGAACCCCCCTTAATAATACATTTCTATGGAGCCTTTGCCCTAGGAAATACACTCAGTTAAAATCTTAGTTCATATTTAATTTACAACGAGTATAGGTGTTCTCATCACCTTCCTTGCCTTTGAGGACCAGTGAGCTTTGTTAAAAAGAGCACTTGGCATTCCTTGTATTATTTAAAAAATGTGTCAGTACCTTTCACCACCCCTCAAAAGGCTCAGAAACACAACATCTGCTCTGAGGTATATCTTTCCCACCTTTTAAGTAACCTTAGATATTGGGATCTTGCATAGAGGGACCTGGACAAAGGGTGCTAATTTTGGCTAAATAAAATATGTATATATTTAGGCTAGATAGTTGTATACCAGGTTTTTAAAAGATACTGCTGTTGTTGTTACCATAAGCTACCTAAAAAGTTGCACTCCTCGGCAAAAGTTCAAACCACTCAAAGAAACACAAAGGAAAAAGTAAAACCCACCTCATATCTATTCCCAGGGGTACCAACTGTTAATAATTTACTGGTCATTTTCCCAGCTACTATTTATACTCATACGAGTTTATGAATTGATATGTATTTACATAGACCTCTATGTAAATAGCAAACAAATGGCAGCATACTTTATATAATTCTTCTGCACTTTGCTTTCATCATTCAATAATATAAAATAAACATCCTTCAGTGGAGGATATAAATATAAATCCACCTCCCCCTTTGTAACTGTTGTGTAGTGTTGTGTAGTGTTCCATGAGCTGTTTAACTCTTCCTCTAGGTTTGGCCATTTTGCAGAACTTCGTTTCAAGTAGTGTTGTACCTGTGGAGCAGGGGTTGATGCCTGGTTGTATGGGTGGTTGACAGGGCATGAGCCAGAATCTGGACACTTCTTTACTCCTGTGGGAAAATAAGAATTTGGCCATCTCAGTATGACATGTAGTCCGTTGGGCAGACAGCAATAAGACAATATATCAAGCCAGTCCTCCAAATCACATTCGTTATTGGCTTTGCTATCCTGGATGAAAAGGCCCGTGTGCCTGCAAGTGACTTGCTATGGCCGAAGGCTTGACCTCAAAGGGCATGTACCCAGGTGAACAAGATGATTGCAGATTTGCAAGAACCTCACAGGAACCAGCTTATGGAGCTCAGCCATGATGTCTCGCCAGGGAGGGACACATTAGGAGTTTAAGCGTAGAGCCTGGAGCCTCCCCCCCTCTCTGTCAACAAACAGTTGCTATTGTAGCTGGTGTCCTTGTGGTTAATAAGACATCCATAGAGTCATAGAGTTTTAAGAGTAGAGCCTGGAGCCTCCCCCCCTCTCTGTCAACAAACAGTTGCTATTGTAGCTGGTGTCCTTGTGGTTAATAAGACATCCATAGAGTCATAGAGTTTCAAGCTGAAAGACTCAGAAGTCACCCAGTCCAGCCCTTCTTTGTACAGCTGAGGGCCCTGAGGGCAGGGGAGATGAGGTGAGTGGGCCTGTTGTCCAGGCTGCGATTTTTATGCCACATGTGTTGGACTTTATTTTTCAGAAGTCAGTTAAAACTCGTCCAACTCTAAATCTCACCAATTAATTTTATTTTTGATGTGAATTAAGAATTGTATCTCAAGAAGCCATTGCCTTCTGGAAAACCTGTTCTTGAAGCCTTATTTCTGTGCTTCTGGCTCCCCTCTACCCAGTCCCCAGAGAGAAGGGATGCCGATCCATACAAGAAGCAACCAGCGTTTTGTTCTCCCAGAACAGTCACCAGCCTATAAGTGGATCTGATGAATTCATGGTTCAAATTGAAGTGTTTGCTCATGTCTTTGTTTTCACTCCTTTGGCAGAAAGTGGTTCTCCAGTGGCTTAGGCTTTTGCTTTAGGCATGTGGAGTTGACTTTCTTTTGTACGTGTTTCTAAATCACTGCTTGAAGAATTCACTGGCTCTATTTAGTTCAACAGAATGTGTTGAACACCCACAATGTACAAAATTCTAGATGAGATTGAGAGATGAGAACAACAGAGCCTATGCTGTTAGACAAGTATGGAATTAGTTATAAAACACAATAGAGATCCTGAAAGGTGCTTTCATAGATGTACCAGAAATACAATGTGGATGGACACGAAGGATTGTGGGGCATTGAGATGAGCATGGCAATGGGCAATGGTCCTAAGGCCTGATGGCTGGAGAGCATTCAGTTTTGCAAAGAAAAGTAAGGGGTGGGAAAATATTTCTGGAAAATGTGCTCATTCAGTTTGACTCAAGCATGGAGCACATGTGGAGGGGTGTTTGTGGATGTGAAATTACAAGTGCATTGGGGAGCATCTGACAGCAGGGGTGAATACTTGATATTTTGGGGGGAGTATGCAAAGGGGAGAGTACAAGTTTTTGAGTAGGTCAGTGGTATGATTAGCGACTAATCTGGGGAGGATATGGCTGGAAGTACAGAATTGGAAGAAAGAAAGCTGAAACATGGGGAGAACCCACTAAGGCTGGGGGGTGAAGAAAGCATTGGAGGGGAGAGCCTGGGGGAAGTCTTGAGTGTGGACTGAGTGAGAAGGGCAGCCAAGTTCTCAAAGAACAGGTTCTAGCAATTGAGAGCAGGTCCACACCGTTAAAACACGAAGCAAAACAAATACCAAATATAGAATTCCAAAGCAGAAGCTGGTTTTAGAGGCTGGGGATGGATGACCAGATGATCCCGACATTTTGGAAACGTTGAACTTGAGGTGTTGGAGCGCTATCCAGTGGAGGTGTCGTCCAGCCTGCAGTTGGATGGGCTTTGTGAAATTAGAGCAGGAAGCCCTTCCTCAAGATTTGGACCCTGGCTTTTGGCACCTTTGCCCTGAGGCAGAGAGGAAGAGGAGAAGAAAATCAGGACCGAATTTCATAGAACAGGAACACGCACATTTTGGGGAGCAATGGAGCTGGGCTCAGAGCCCTGGCTCTGCTGTTCAGCTTCTGTGAGGATGTTGGCAATTGATGTAATAACTCTGAGCCTTGGTTTCCCCAGTGGTAAGACGGAGACCACTGTTTTTTCCAACCTCAGAGAGTTGTGTGAGGATGAGCTGAGTTCATTAAACAGGTGCCAATATTGTCATAATTTTCCTAGGCTGAAGATTATGATTATATATATTTTTGAAAATTGAGATATCTTTCTATTTTGGGCTGGCATGAACACAAGCCAAGGTTGGGGTTTGTGACCTTTGAAAGCTGCTCTGGTTGGCATCTCTTCTTCAAGGAATTTCTGCTCTGACCCTTTTGGATTTTCTGTCTGGGTGAACGTTTGGTCATTTACCTTGGAATCAGTCAATAACAGGTCATGTTACCTTCAACTTTTGTGATAAGAATTAAATAATAATCTGCCTTCCTTTCTCTTCAGTTGGGTGTTGTGAAAATGAGCTCGTTCACTTCGTTCTTTTGTGTGGTGTCCAGCCTGCGGCCTGCTTCCTGCTGCCCCGTTGACACCGGGAGGAAATGCTACGGAAGCTTTCTTCCTGGGAGTAGCCCTGCCTCCAGCCCTGTGTCTTCAGAAATGTTGCTAAAGGCGGCTTTCTCCTGATCATCATAAATGACAAACTTTACGGCTCATCCATTCTAGAAATCATGTGCAAATTTGAAACACAATGCTACTATTTAATCCAAATTTCTAGGGCTTTTAAAATGCTGGCCAAGTTTAACCTGTCCTTTTATATGAATTAAAAAATTATTCATTTAGGAGTTCCCTATTATATGAATTAAAGCGACATAGCTTTTTTTCAAATTTTTGGTGAGGTTTACAGTAAAAGGAAAGAAGAGATACTGTAGGTAGCAGCTCTTCAAACTGATTTTTGCTCCCAACCTCCAGAAAGAGAACTGTTGTGTCTCTAGGGGTTTAAAAAGGAACAATCAAAAGGGCTCAGACTCTCACAGGACGCTCCCACCCTTGAACTGCTTGGACTGCCAGGCCAACTAATTTGAATAAAAATGTTAAAAAAAAAAAATGAAGTGAAATGTCTAGGCATTTCAAATGAAATACTCTGCCCAGTAGGACTCTGGTCAAATGCAAACCTCAAGCGCTTTCCTTTGTTGCCAGTTACCTGTGACACTGTTCTGCCCTGGGTGACTTCCAGAAGTTGCCTGCCAAACTGGTCTAGAGGTCCTGGTTTCCCCCTCCCCCTGCATCAGCCAAAGTTTACTTAGCGGATGTCTGTGGGGCTCCGTTGAGAACAACATGGCTGCCATTTGGTCGCTGGGAACCAGGTGCATCAGTGGATTAACCCTCATCCTTACAAAATCTGGAAACAGAATCTATCAGGGAGTTGAGACACTTTGATATATAATCAGTAAGAGGGAAAGGCAGACTTTGGACCCAGGTGTCTCTCGTGTGGTGTTCTCGCTAGGACCCACCTTGCTTCTCAGCATGGTTGTATTATTGCCAAGAAAAATTGGGATGGGAATGGGACAGATAACACTTCTTGCTCACTTGCCTATATATGCCAGACTCTTTTCTAAGCCTGCCTCCCCCGTATACTATGAAGTAGATATACTTATTCCCATTTTACAGACGAACCAAAGGTCAGAGATGCTAAGTGACTTTCCCAGGCTTGCTTAGCAGGTGACAGAGCTAGGATTTGAACTCCAGTGAGCTAGAATCCCAGCCCATGGAGTAAAGCCAGTAATATTCCCTTTCCCTCTGGTGTAACTTGAATTTAGGAAAAGCTTCCTTGGTAGATCAAGTCACCTGCTCAGTCAAAATGAATGTCTCTGTCCCTGCATGATCAGTGCCCAACTGCTACGGAGTCCTTCTCTGGGTGGGGTGGAGGAAGGAGTTTAGCCTAGAGGTTTACAACTTGCTTGAGTCCACCCATTTTCTTCACCCTTAGGCTCGTTTCTCTTTCTCAACTGATTGTAAGGAGTAGTTGGCTTCTGGAAGGCTTTTTTGACAGTTGGGTGATGGTTTCCCCACATCCCTGCGCCTCAGTTGCTTTCTGATTTGGGCCCCAGGGAACAGTACATTGGGAACCGATCTAAAAAAGAGTCTGGTGGTGTGTGAGAGGGTGGTTGGTGCCATGCCCTCCTGTTCACAGCAGCTGGTACAAAAGTTGCTTCTAAACCAGGCCATGCTTCCGGCCTCTGCTGGGCAATCCTGGAGTCTGCCTAGAATTCCAGTTTAGGGAACACAGTTGATTGGTTTTGCAAGCCCTAGTTCAAGTGGCCAGGCAAAGGCATGGGCACCTCCCTAGAAGCCAAGGCCCGTATCTGCTACCAGTTCTGTAGGCCGGCAGGTGACACTGTTCTCTCCGTGTGGCCATCAGAATACACAGAGAAGCCTCTTTGTCATTTATCCTTTGGAGCCTTTGAGTAATGATGCCTGATGAGAATGCAGAAATTTCTTGTTTCAAGCGGGTTTCTGAAAACTTGGGGAGAAAATAAACTCCATGTGCTCTTCAGCTAATTAGTTCCTGGAGGGTATTTCTGAAGGCTTTTCTCCTCTGTCAGCATTGCAGGAGTCTTGCCTGCTTCTGGCTTTTCACTGAACTGTAGAAACCTGTTCCCTCAGGGACACCTTGCAGCTCTTCTGCGGGCCCCTCCTGTGGTGTGTTGGAGAAGCCTGACTGAGCATTCGCCTAGCCTGGCTCCTCATCCCTGAGCAAGTAACGCAGGGCAGTGTGACAAACATGAGTCACGGCTAACTTGATGTGACAAGACAAAATGCAAGGAATACCCAGTGATGGGATATAAACTTGGTTGTAATTACTATGGACATGGTGATCTGGGAACCCAGTCTCCTGAACCCTGATTCTACTTTAGGATCACTTTCCTTTGCCTTTAAGACCGTCTTACCACGTCTCACCAGGGGAATCCCTCCCACCAGATGTCCTGGGAAAGTTATAAAGTACCTGAATTTTGAGTTTGAGGGGCCCAGAATATTCTATCTCCATAGTGTTTTTTTAAATTAAAAATTTATTTTATTTATTTTTTTTATTTTTATGCTTCACAAGCAACTGGGGGATCGCTGGAAAAGGGTCCTGGTTAGAACAGAGGAGGGACCTTCCATGGGGTCAAGAGGAGGGGAGGAAAGGTAAGTACCCGACCTTGAGGGGGCTGGAAAGGGAGAAGTGGCCGGTGATCTGCAGTAGTTTGGCAGGGAAGATGGCTATTCCGGTGCCAGGTGTAGCGAGTGTCCCCAGAGTGTTCATCCCGAAGTGTGTTACATGGTGCACTCGACTCCCATTACAGACAGGTGGTGCCACCCTCTGTGACCCAGAGCAGGAGCTCAGAACCCTGGAGCAGCAGTGAGGAACCTGGCTGGTGGTCTCGACCATTCCAAAGCACTTACTTGTTTACTAGAATATAAATATAAATATAAATATAAATATAAATATAAATATAAATAT